TTGTGCAATAAAAAGTTTATGGGGGGGGGGGGGGGGAATGTCACAAACATATGAACAAACCAGTAGGAAGAGTTGGAATTTAGAAAATGAATCATTATAAGATCAATCTAACAGTGCAATTTGGCTAGAAAAAGTAATTATTGCAGGAATAACTTTTTGAATAGGCTGACATCTTTTTTGGGGGGAGTGGGGAATGCATTTCTACTCAGAATACCAATTAAGACAGAGGATAACAAAACCTGCAGCTAAAACACACCAGAATTTTAAATAATAGTTGTGAACCATTAACATCCACCAGTCAGATAACCAGACTGTTTTTATTGCACTTCTCAAACAGACAAATGTTGCAAGTGTGTTTTACATAAGTGAAAAACAAACTAGAATTGATTAAATACAGATAAGTTAAAAAAAAACACACAAAAAAACTGTAGAGTGAAGACGAAAAGAATCAGTGAAAAATGTAAACATTTTATAAATAAACTTAAGTAACGAATAACAGAAAATGTGATCCAAACTAAATTACTAAGAAAGGCACACAATTAATGATGTATTGCACAAATATATTTGACACATCGCCAGTATTTTAAGAACGTTTTCACCAATAAGAAAAACGGAAGTAGACAGGTGAGTTGTTAATTAGATTATCACCGTCTAAACTTTTTTTTTTTTTCGGTAAACACTAAAAGAGCAGGAAGTTAAATTACTTTAAATTAAAACAACTTACTTGAAGCGTCGGGTGTTCCAGGGTCTCCATGCGACTTTCCGGAGGGTTTTCAGCTTTAGCTTTGGGGCTATTGTTGACGACCATTACATCACTTCATAAAAACACTGAAGAACCCTCTTTTTCTTGGAGAAATACCCCACTTGCGACCGAGACGAACGCAAACGCGCATGCCTAACACGTGCGTGCTGAGCAGGGGAGAGGAGCTGCTTGTTGCTCAGCTCTCAGCGCCAATCTTCAAGTTGGACTCGGCAGGATTAGAGGAGGAGCCACTCGGATTCCGATGCCGGTGATGATGTGACTCCTTATTTTATTTTAGCCTTCAGCATCACAGAGCCTCCTGAGCAGCGCTCTCCTTCCCACACGGGCTGAGAGGGAGCGCTGCTGTCGCCGCTCCATGCGCCCTGTCCTCCGCCGCCCAACACCCACCCTCCTCACACTGTCATGGGATGAACTTAAACCATAGAGTCTCTCCAAAAGAGGCAAGTTTAACATTAATTCTTCAGATTATAAAGAGCCGCGTCAAGGAGTGGACACGTTTACATGGAACAAAAATGCTTAATTGTTTTCGCGTGAGTGTATTTCGCCGAAAGCAATAGTATTATTTTTTTATCACAATATGTCCTCAAGCTTCAACGTATTTTGAGATTGTGTGGCAGTCAGACCAACACAAAGTAGTGCATAAATGTAGAAGTGAAGGTAAAATACTTTGGGGTTCCATTTGTGTCAAAAATAACTAATGTCGTAGGGCCCTCTTCCACTGAAACTGCACAAGCCCTTTGCACTTGTGCTTTCGGATGAAGACGTTTTTTCCCATACTGTATGACGGTGGTTTCAAATTGCAGTCCTCCAAGTCTAGAGACCTGTAACTTTTAGACGTGTTCATTGTCCTTTACATTTGAATAAAAATAGTAAAACAGCCTCACTAGGTCTTGAGCGTGCGAGGACTGAGGCAAATGATACAAGTTTTACGTGTGTGGGGTCGGTTGGACCCCATTAATAAACACAAGAGCTAGCATGTAGTCGAGTTCCACTGAACGCTGCTAATGAGCTGCAAAGCTCCAGGTGTGCTAAAGGTTGTCCCTTGAGGACAGGAGTTTGAGACCAATGTTTTATCCTCCTGACTACCAGTAGTTCATTTTTGTCCTCTGTAGAGGACATTTCTAAACTTGAATGTCTCCCACACCCTGCATTCTACTGAATTAATTCCTTTTGGTATCTGGAGAGGACATTTAGGGCTTTTCAACGATATTACATGTGAAGGGGTGGGACTTTTGTACGTACCTTTTTCTAATTCATAAAAATGGCATTTATCAGTAATAACACATTTTATGGGAAGAGACAAAGTAAGTGCATAAAACCTTTTATTACCTTACAAAGACTGTGGGATTAAAAAAAAATGGTGATTGGACAATATTTTTTTTTCCTGGTAGTCAGGACAAACTCAGCTAGTATCTGTGTCTTTGAAAGAGTCTTTGAGCATATTTTTTTTTAGCTTACTTATTCTCAATTAGTCTTTGATCTGGACAGGGTCCAACCAGTTAAGAAAAAATAAAACTGTTATCAGTATTATAATGTCCACCCACTAAGCAACCTATTACTCAAGTCAAAAACATTCTTTTTTCAGATCACAGTGTGACGGATATGACAATGTTATTAATCTAAATGACTTAAATTTTTTTCAAACATTTACATGTACAATACACCACAACATAGATCTATATCATATAAAACAGTCACACTATAGAAAATACAGAGAGGCTGAACTTTATGTCTTTGTTCAATGTGAGATCTATTCTTTACTCTATTTTTCTATAAACCAAAGATTATACAGTTTAGCTGGATTTTTTTTTTATCATACTTGAATGCAAAACTAAATAAATGTCAGTCATAGACAACTGATTTTCTCATCCAAAATCCATGTAAATATATATATGTATTTTCTGACAAGTTTAACATGTTGTAAATGATTTAAAACAAACATTTCTTGTTGCGTTAAATGTATAATTTATTTTTCTTATGCTATATCAAAGAAATCTGGAGCAGCTCTGTGAAGATCGGCTGAGCTGCTGCATTCTCTTTACTGTTCATCATCGCCCTCTGGTGGCTCTCGGTGCATTTGCATTATATTGCTACTAAATGCACAGAATATCTCAGGTTGGTTTCCTTGTTGCAGTTGCTGTGACTCAGCCTGTGATAATAGCAGGATAGGATAGCATATGTATCTATCTATTTGTCTATCTGGAAAACCATTAACATGCCAAATGATACTCCTGCACAGACATTTTCCTGAGGTTACAGATGACGCATCACACGCTGTTTTGTTTTCAACTTGTGACTTTCACACTCGTAAAAAGGTTAAACAAGCAATTCTTTGACAAAGTGCTGGAAAAAAATCCGCTGTACACAAGTGTCGCAGACAGTGTGAAATAATTTTTGCTGCTGAAAGTTATGGATTGGTCCTGTGTGGTTTTGTCTGAAAGCAAAAATGCCAAAGGATTATGGTCACTGATGTGGTTTAAATAAAAAAAAAAAAAAAAAAGCAAAAATCTTTTTATGTTTCCTGCCTTGACTCTCTGCTCTCTCTTGTTTGTGTGCTCTCGTGCCCTTGCAGCTGAACTCTTCCGTCAGGGCTCTGCTGAGAAAGCGAGGATAGACGGCGTTGCACAACAACGTGCCCCCAGTTGAAAGCTCTTCCTTCCTCCATGCTGGCATCGGTTGCCTTGAAAAGATGCACACGTGCCAAAAAAATAGTCTTTTTCACTGCTAAAGTGCAGACTTACACACAACGCACATGGTCCGTGCTTTCCTGGAAATGCCAACGGGTGCTGGCATTTTCTAAACCAACATCGGTTTTGCAAGAATAGGAGAAAATGCTGTGGACTTCCTTCTATTGTTTGGACACTGATCGGGAAGCTGCAGTAAACGGCGTCAGCTTTTTCTGACATGATAGGCAAATAATCCCAGAGAGCACCGCCGATGGAACTGATTGTGCAGTTTAACAAAAAAAAACAAGGTTACAGGGTTAATCACAGACTGATTAAGAAAGAAACAAAACTTTTTTTTGAGCCCACTCACTGTATGTGATTATCACAAATTCAGTTCTGTGGTCAAATTATCTTTCACTTATTTTATTGCAGCTGATCTATTCATCTTGCTGTCCTCTACCTCCTCCTCCCCCTCCTGCAGGCCCACTTTGACAGCTGAAGAGTGTTTTGCACTGTGTGGGTCGGACTCTGTGTTTGTACAGTACCAGGCATTAGTCACCCAGGTTGGTGGATGGAGAAAACGAGAATCTCAGGTGGGTGGAAATGCCCTCATATTGGATCACACAGAGACCTCGGAAAAACAAAGAACAAAGCGTCGAAGATGAGAGTAACAACTATAACAACAGAGTTTTATAAATAGCTGTAAAAAAAAAAAAAGCATTTAATGTCTTTTTTCTTTATTGAAAACTTTAAAGTTTTGCCTGTTGCCAGTAGATTTGTGTAAAAGCATGGCTACTCTGGGTTCCTTTGCATTTTTAAGAAGAATGAAAAATGAAAGCCATAATGGAAACCTAGATTTAGTTTTTTTAAATTGCTTTATTTGAATAACAGTGACTGGCATTGTCTGTAGTTCAACAACACTAAAAATCAAGGGGTTAAAAAATATAAATCAAACATATAAAACGAGTCTCAAACGTTCACAAAAATCGAGCATATTTTCACAAGCCAGCGCTCTGACTATTACACTGTGATTGAGCAATTTTCTCCAGGAAGTGGTGCTTGTATCTGTGAGTTAATCATTAACTTAGAAGCAAAAAAAAAAAAAAGAAAATATACAGTCGGCATCTGCTGCAATTTAATCTTGCGTGACAGCTGCAATTAAAATTTGAGTTTGTGTTCAAAGAGCGCCAGCAACAAAAGACAAGTCCAGCCCAGAAGCAAACCGAGGTTCTGCAGGAGGAACATGACAAACGGTCTGTTGGTCTTCACTCGATTCATCTCTGGAAGCTAGCGACAGAGGGAAGATAAGAGGTTAAACTTCAAACACCAATCTGTGTGAATAAACAACAATTGGCTGTAATTTTCTTATTGCTGCCTAATCCAATGTTTTCTCTGTACCATCTCAAGAGGAAGTTGCTGTTTAAGGCTATGGTAAACCAAAGTTTACGTTCAGGTTGTGAAACACGGTTTCTATGTTGATAACCCAAAATTGCATTATTAAATGGTAAAGAGTAAATAGATTTCTTATAGACACATTAGTGTCTGTAAGACTATAATGTTCCTGTAAAAATCACCACCACAACATTGTGGGATATATCCAATAAAACCAAAAAACAGGCAAACACAAAAAACTTTTATCAGCATCTACAAGAATGTTTTCTTTGCAGATGTATCTCATTGCACTAGCAAAGCAGGTTTTAGCCTCCTGCAACATCATTATCCATGTATTAGGGATTTTCTTTTTTTTTTTTTACCATCCAGCTAAACATGGAAGTGAAGAATAAGTTTTTGACCTACTATTTGCAAACCTATCAACATTTTAGATAATGTATTTATGCCAATTGTTTTAAATTATATTTGTGTTCTGGTTGAAAGAAAATTAGCAAAGGAAAAAAAAAACATTTAAGGGTTTTGTACACCTCATTACCAGGGGTTATTTATAAAACTGTGTACCGTATGTTAATCCTTTTCTTATCAGAATCCAGCATCAGATTTAGAGCACATGAAAGTGCCTTACCATTTCTGCCAGGGACAGGTAGAGAAATATCCCAGCTGTGACGGAGAAGATCCACTGCTGCACATCTGTGTCTGACGAGACAAAGAGTCCGACATAAAGGCCCATGAAAGCCGTCAGGGCGCTTAGGAAGTTCATCAGCACTGCAGTCTTCACTGAGAGCCCAGAGCTGAGTAGCACCGCAAAGTCCCCTTAAAGTCAGAAAAGTGGCAGATTTTGGTCATTCCTGCACATTGTTTTCTGCTCTCTAACCTCAGGGGGACAAACAGAAATGATGACCTCTCACCCATCTCGTGTGGGATCTCGTGGCACAGAATGGCCACAGTGGTTGCCATGCCGGTCTCGGCTGATGAGGAGAAAGCCGCTCCGACAACGAGGCCATCGGCAAAGTTATGAAGACTGTCTCCCACAATTACCATCACAGCCAGCACAGGAACCCCTTGTTCTGGACACACAGAGTGCGTAATTACAGCTGGTCTTCAGACAGCTGCTCTTTTGTACCAAATTACTAATTACACAGCAGGGGACTGTTTGACTCATTCTGATTTAGTTGTTTTACTTACTCTGTCCAGGAGTGCTTTCTGTATTTGTACGTTTAGGATAAATCTCTGAGCCCTCTACATCTTCCACTGAACCCTAAAAAAAAAAAATCGGACATTTATTATGAGTTCTGAGACGATTTTTTTTTAACCTCTCAACATTTGAATTGCTTTCCTTTGGGCCTTCAACTTCTTTGAACCCCTTTTTTTGTGACCTGCTTATAGTTTACTGTCTGGAATGTGGTTATTTGTCTTCAATAAATCACTGAGTTAAATTGGTCACTTCAGGGGTCATGATCTCTGTAAGATTTAAACATCTAGACTAGAAAAACATGGCAACGCATTGGTAGCAAAAGGAGGGTTCAAACTTACAAAGGGAGGAAATTAACCCATATTTTAACATCCTTCACATACTACTTTTTATAATTTTAGTTTCCACATGCTTTATACATTGGTTTCAAAATATTGAAAACCTGTTACACTTTTGATTGACTCACTCAAGTTTCTATAAATGTTTCCATGTCATGTGGACAGATTTAAATGTGAAATTATGTGAAAATATATACAATTCTGTTTACTTAAAACATTTTTTTTTCCACCACTTTAGTCTTGAAGAAGACAGTTATTCTGACCAGAAACACTTACATACATGTTTCCTTCTCAATATGTGTTTTATACCGGACGATCTTCGGTAATGTATATTTGGCAGCAGATTGTAAAACAAAACATACCAAGTCGTTAACATGCTTTTATTGTGACATGTACCTGCAAAATATTTTAATGTACTTATTGATATTACATTTTAGTAGGACTTTGACTATGTTAAATATGTTTTCCAACGCACACTGAGGTCTAAGAAAGAGAAAAAAGAAAAAAAAAAAAAACGTTAGTGTTTCCAAGCATTGATTCCATTGATTATGACTTCGATATAAATTTAGAGTATCGGTTTTCAGAGCATGAAGTACTTTCAAATTAAACAAAGTTCTCTGTTCTTTCATTTGATCCAAGTTTGAGACTCCAAAATCAACCACAATGAATTGAACGTCAAAGATGAACCAAAACATATTTTCTTGGAAAAAAAAAAAAAAGGGTATCTGTGCAGTAAACATATAGATTTTTTCCCTGAACATTGATGCTTTGTTTTTGTTTTCATTAGTTTTTTTTGGACTTGTGTCTGTCCAAAAATATTTTCAAGTAGGCACTCAAAGGCCTCCTTTCAATTCAATTCAAGCTCTCTGGAAAATGTAATCCTTCATTGTCCAACATCCTACTTGCCGTGTTTCTTTACTCCCTCCCACACTGCTTCACGTCTACAATTACATAACAACAAAGGAGGAAAGATTCAAGGGGAATTTAGTAGAGCAAATATTTATTTTTATTTGAGTTTATTTGTTCTCTGCAACTTTTGTAGTATAATGTTCTGAGCTGCTTTGTCATGTATCCCATCTCTTGTTCTACAAAAACTTAAATAGAAGGGCAGATAACGGGAATGAGGGTGTTCTGCCAGGAGTCCTCAAACTACCCGTCAGTTCATTCGGGGCTGCGATGAGACTCACCAACTGGATGGTGGAAATGGATTTGCTCCTCTGAGACTGACCGTTACAGTTCAGGTCTAGGGGAAGGTCACTGCAGTGACCCTGCGGACAAAAGAAAATCAGGCGACCATTGTCACTCAACATGCAAAGTCATGACAAAAGTGTTTGTCTTTGCAGGACTCTCACACAGCTTATTTAAAAGAAATCAGTCAGCGTTTTAGTTGTTTTCCTGTGATAATCTGTGGTTGAAGTGTCTTTCTCTGGGTCAGTAAATCTGAAATGTAGGCTCCAGAAAACAAAACTCTTACGTGACCATGAGAAGGGGCTAAAAAGGAAAATATCCTTTCAATGAGAAAAAATCCATAAATCCCAGCAATCAAGCCCAAAATCTTCCACAGATAGTCTTTATCCTCATTGGAGAGCACAGCATCATGACTGTGAGTGCTGTCATGTAGGGCAAGAATCTGCAAAGGACATGAAATATGCACATTTAAAATTTAATTCACAAGTAAGATGTGTCGTGGATTATTAGGGACCCTTTGCACTGGATTTGAACTATCAAATCATCTCCTGGATCTCAACATACCATTTGAACATTGTTGACCTTACTGCATTCAGTACTCAAATTTTGTTTTCCTCTTGTCTTAACAATTTCACCACTATGTTACCATCCGATCTGCAAAATATCCCACAATCTATAGACTTTGAATTGAAATTTGCGTCAAATTAAAAAACAGTCACTTTTTCATTTTTGGTTGTCAGAAGAAGAGAACAAAGGATACACAGATTCATTGGTGCCAAAGTTGGGAAGCTCTCACACTGCTTTGCACATAAAAGAGACGTCTGCAAACTTCATCCACGTTCTGTTGTTGATTTACTGTATGTTTCTGTGTCATGGTGCAGGCACTGTCCAGTGTGAAGGGTCTTGCCATTGCTTCAGGGGTTTCTTACTTGTGGAATAAGGTGCAGGAGAGCATCACCTGAGAGGGTTCCCACTGCCAGGCCCACAAACAGCTGCAGGATGAGCGTGTAGGTCTCCTGACAGGAGTTGAAGAATAGCAGACAGATCCCAAACATGGATCCCACTGTGATGATCAGGACGGCAGCTGTGCTGTAGCCGTACTCTGCAGGAAGGAGGAAACTCTGTCTAGATTAAAGGTATAACATATTAAAAACGCATTACAGAATTAAACAATTTGAAAGAGGAAAAATATTTTGCCTACATTGGAGAAACAGCTTACACCGAGTTTTCACTCAGCAACACCTGGTAACATTAGTGTGGTGTATTGACTGACTGGAAGAGGAATCAGATTTTCAGTATTGAAACAGCCTGGTCAGAATTGATCGAGCTAATGATTCCAATCGCCTGAAATTAGAAATGTGTGCTATTTTGCCAAACATATTAAAGGTATTACCAACTATACTGGAAGTAGAATAAATCAAACTGATATTTTTTAAAAGGAGAAGCATGCTACACTGTTGAATCTTCAGATTCATTATTGTGAAGTTTTATTTGTTTTCTTTAAACAACCTTACAACTTAAAATCGGTCATTTGAAAGGATTGTGATGTTATGAAATGAAGCATTATAGGACTGGCTTACTCTCAATAGCAGTAGGTACCGACCCTCTTGAATTTTGCTGTAGTGACCCACAGGCGTTGCCTAGCAACTGCTGAACGATGGCAGGACAAATTTGCTGGAATTGCTCTTTGGAAATGGATAAATGAGGGTCAAGAGCAAAAATATCCACCAGCTGGTTGGCTGAGAAACACACCTAGTTGGGTGAAAAAAAAAAGAGCAAAAACAACAAGTTGATTAAAGAATTTGAAATCAGTTTTAAAGCGATACTGCCCTGTTGATATTAAACCTCACCTGTGTCCAATCTCCACCAGTGTTGTGGCTAAAGTTTTGTGGCAAATGCGAACTTTGTTTGATGCCCCTCTTCTTCTGTTTGTAAGAGTGCATTGGTTTTCCATCACCTAACCGATGAAGCAGCTCTTCCAGGTCTAGGTAGAGATATGGTCAGAATGCAGCATTGGTTCAAACTTATTACATGTCACCAAAGATTTGTGAATAAGAAGATAAGGTGGGAGAAATTTGTCTTGAAAGAGGGGACAGGAATGGGCAAAACAATTACGATTAAATGTATTAAACTGAAGCGATCAAATCTGGATCAACACCAAGCAATAGTGAAATAAAAATGTGCCACCATCAGTGAGGATTTGGCGCAGAAGAAAATATCCATTTCAATGGGAATTGCAGAAGGTAAAGAGAAGAAAGGTCAAAACTGTACATAATTCTTTTTTCTAAATATAAAAGTGAACAAAAGCCTTTGAAACGCATATGTTCTATGAGCCATATAACAAGTGAATTAATACAATCATTAAAATTGAAGCTATGACTACTTTGCACTGAAACGGTGCACTTTCTTTTAACCAAAAGCATTAGGTAAAAACTTATGACATGATGGTGTTTATGGCGTTTTCTTTCACTTACCTGCGATCTTTAGGTTATTAGAGCAATTTAGCGACTGAAATATGTAATCTATGAAGAAGTCGGGGGATGGGAGGCTCCTCGGTGCAAAGCAGTGTCCCTGCAGGATGTTGCTGATTATAGCTGCTGCTACTTTGGGAACGTCTGCCACTCTTGCACCAGGATTTCCATCTACGTCCACCTCTTCAAGAAGATGAGCTGAATGAATGCACTGAAATCAAATATAAATTATTTACATAGACATTTGCACCCATTCTGATAACATACATCTGTTTAAAAAAAAAAAAAAAAAACGCCAAAAACACAAGTTCCCCTACTTGGAAACCACGCATGTCCTTGTTGGAGGGATTGTAGTGCTGGTTGATGAGCAGCAGAATGCTCTCTGTCTCGCTGTGTGACAGGAACTGATGGTTTTCATTTGGATTCAGGCCGGTGAAATGCAGCAGGTAGAACTGCAAGTTCACAGATGAGGAGGGAAGGGCTGGTGGAGGGCCGATGTTTGAAACACACAGATCCTTCAAGTTAATTATGTAGTACAGCAGGACAGTTGAGATCTTGTGGTAATCTTCCTCTGTCAGTTCAGTCCTGTCATCGTCCAGCACTGAGAGGGCCACGTTTGGTGTCAGGCACTGCAAGGAGAAATACAAAGAAAGATGTAAACCATCAGGCCAGGAAGTTTTTGTCTTTAGTTTCTGATCTAAAGAGTTAGCCTGATAAGTGTTAGGACACTGCAACTTTTGAAGAAAATGCAAAAAGCCCAGTTTGACGCACCAACAATGTCTAAATATTTGCAAAGTAGGTAAAACTCTGCTGTTAGTCCAAATCTGCAGAGGAATTTGCTTTATTGAATTCTAAATCTTACTTTCAAGGCACAAAAGGGACATAATCCTATTGACAGCCCAACTGGCCAAACATGCACCGCTTCTAAATCCATTTTATTAGGTCAAACCGAGCAACGTTAAAGCCACTCAGCATGAAAGGCCCAGAGAGGTCAAGAGCTCAAGCCTCTGCACTTGCATTCCCAGCCATTAACTAAAATAAAACAAACATAAACCAAGAGTGAAGACTTAAGTATTTAAAATTCAGCATAAGTCAAGCTAGTGAAAGGCTTTGATAAACTGACAATCTATATGTTTTTTTGGTTTCATTGCAATGTGAAATTGGTGACAAATCTTTGAGTTAAGGTAGTCTGGAGCGCCATCACAGGCCTAAGCAAGCTAATGAGAGTTTCTGTGCTTCATTAGAAACCCTCACTGTTGAATACTAAAACAATCAGCGATTATAAGATCCCTGTTTGGCAGAAAAAATAGAATGAGGGCAGGATTTATTGTGAATTAGCAAAAAGCCCAAAGCATCATGCAGAGGGAGGGGTTTTGAAGGACTACATGTGCCTGCAGAGCTGACTGGTTGTGATGAAGCCAAATTATTTGCAAGCATTTGTTTAGGAGAAAAGTCGCAAACTGTCATTTGATAAGGCAAATGAGACTTGGCAACAGTTCTAAGAGTCACATTAGGTGAGTCTGATAAATGCATTCATAAATCTTTCAAAACTCCATTAAATGGTGGATTTGTTAAGGTATATATATTTTTTTATTGTGAGTCCAAAAATAAATGAAAAACTGATCATTTCTGTTACTGTTCATATGTCTTGGTTTACTTAATCAAATTACAAGTGCTGGATCATAGGGGTTTACAAGTTGAGTGTAAACTTGTAAACCCCTAACAAAAGACTTCCAGAAAAATGTTCCCAACAGAAAATGTCCCAAACCCCTGAATTCGATCAATTAGAATGGCCTAAACAAAGTCCAGACCGAAGTCCATTTTGTGAGGCTGATATAGAGGAAATATAATTTTTATCTGCAAAGCGTTGTACTTTTCCTGGAATATGAAATGAATACAGCACAGTCTGCACTGTACGGTCAAGTGATTATCAAATATCGACAGAATCATAAAACGCATAAGGCTGGCCTTACTTTCTCACACATGTCCTGTGTGAAGCCTGTCCTCTCAGCACAGTGCACATCCTGGAGCAATTTAGTGATCAGTAGACCAGTCCTGTTCTTCTGGAGTGTAGGTTTCTCATCACTCCCCAAAGGTAGACCCAAAGTCCTAAGAGTCTCCGGCAGATAGTGCCAGTCCCGTGCTTTACCTCCTGTGACTCTCCCCAGCTCACAAAGATGCAGCAGGAGCACCAGACATGGAGCCGAGCTCCAAAAGCGCATGTTCCCAACAGCGTAGACAGCCTTCCTCAAGCCCCGAGGACAGGGAATAGGTCCAACCAAGACAGTGATGGATAAGAAACACAGACAAGAAAATCAAGAGAAGAAAAAGTCAAGTTGAGCAGATGGAAAACGAGATCTCAGCGGGCACCCTTGAGTCGAACCAATCCTTACAGTGCTACGTAGTTAGTTAGTGAAAGCCTGGGCCTCTCAGCCCCAAACAAAAGGATTAGCGCAAGCAAGTGAAAGAGCACAGGGCACATAGAAGGGGGAAAGAACGGGCTGCTTTGCTGTCGAGAAACTAATTAGTGTTTGGAGACAAATGAGGACAGAAGGAACAAATAGCTACACAACAAATACACGACACAAAGCTGCTCTATTGAAGTGATGTGCAGCCTTTGGGATGGGTTGATTCCTTACGATGTACTTTAAATCTCGTCCTTTTTTCACTGTGCTTCATACTGGCAACAGGTAAATACATTTTGTGGATCTAATTTGTCTCTTCCACTTTGGGAGCAGGCTTGAGTGAGCATTTCTTACTTTTTCATGATCTCTGACTCATCAAAGATAAAAAAAAAATAAAATACAAAGCAAGATACAGCAGGCTTTCTATGATCCTCCCACGTGGGATACCCTGCAGGTCGAATCAGCACAGCAGCAAGAAGATTACTTTTTTTTTTTTTTTTTTCTAAAAAGTGATCCTGAAAAACAACACTGACACCTGGCACATCAGACTACCAGAGTGCTCTGCTCTTCACAGCTGCTGCATCCAGCTTTGTTTATCTCCGACAACAGATTGTCTTTGTTGGACCAGCAGAAGGTTTATTTTGGGAGATTTTTTTTTGAGTGTCAGTGTAGCTGGTAAAGCTGTCTTGGAAGAAAAAGAGTTTGACTCAGTCCCTGAAGATTAGCTGTGAGAGCTTTAAAGGGGTCACAGCTTCATTTGCAACATTCAGACTAGTAGTGGGTGTGAGCTTATGGTAGTTGTGAGCGAATTACTAACTCTACAGTTTATAGCCTGGCTCAGATCTGCACTGATGTTTAAAGAAGATCTGATTTTAGTTGTGTAAAGTTCAACACTGTTACAGATTATACTTTCCCTCACTTGAAACTCCTGGAAAAGCCTATTAAAACACCACCATTTACCTTTTTCTTTGTAAAATTTATCAGTATTCAGCAACAACCACTTAAACAACCACTTAAATAGATTATTCTTGTAAGGGATAAAGCAATTGTTTCATATTATGTTATTTTTCAGTGCGTTGTTGTATTCAAAGTAAATTACCAGCAACAGTAGTGTCAGTAAACTACTGCAAACTGGTAAAAGTTGTAATCTCCAACCGTATTAAGAATGGGAAGGAAACAATAACGGTACAATTAAGCTCTTTCAAATAGTATTTTACAAAGCTGAAGCTGATTTTACTGCTCCCGTTTTGAATTATGTCTTCATTTCCCACTTTTAGGAACCTTTGAAAGCAAAAAAGGACTATCAATCTCTTTCCTCCCTTTTCACCTTATTTGGTATTTCATCTTCTACTCTCTCTAATCTTTGATAAAAAGATTAACATCCTTTGTGCATTTGGAAACCAAGCTCTGAGAATGTTATTCAACTCTACATTGCTTCTATTAGGGTTCTGTAGAAAAAAAAGTAAAAAAAAAAAGTCACTTTAATCATATTTTTTATTTATTCAGTGTCTATTTACAATAGTGTAAGGAGTACTGAATGATCTGTAGCAAATATTGACAAGCATCACATCTGAGGAGGGTTTGTTGATCTCGAAAGGCAGATATTCTTTTCATGATTTTGAACATGTAAACATTCACAACTACAGTAATATGTCACCAATTTCTGTACATATTAAACTGATGGCTATACTATGTAGCCAAAATTATTAGTATATTTGCCTTCATACATGCATGAATTTACCTGCAATAATTTTATTTATTTATTTTATTTTTACTTATTATGATCTTAACAATTTCAATCTTTATGACTCTCCAAAAGGGGTTAATAATTTGTATACTTTAATTTTGGGCCATTCCTTTAAAAGTACATTTGGGAGCTGGTGCTGGACAGGAAGGCCCGGCTCACAGTCTCCGCTCTAAATCATCACAAAGATGTCCTGTCAAGTTGAGGTCAGGACTCTGTGGAGGGAAATAAAGTTATTTCACACAAAGCTCATTCATTCATGGCTTTCTGGCCCTTGCTTTGTGCACTGGTGTGAAGTCATGTTGTGATAGGAAGGGGTCAATCCCAAACTTAGCTGCCCGCTTTTCCCTGCTGCATGTAACACTTTGGATTGCACTTGGTGATGCAAAGCTTAGATACACTTTCTTGGCAATGGAAACTCATTCACTGAGGTAATCGGAAGGACACAGGAAGTTCGGAGGTCAAGTACATATCTACTTATTATGGCATGACCAGTGTTTGCAGAGGCAGTCTGTATGGCTACAGTAGGTGCTCTGGTTTTACACACTACTGGCCAAACTATACTTTTTGGAGGGGTAATTCCATACTTTTTGCAATATAGTGTTTGCATATATACATATATGAACATAAACTCAATGGAGTTTGGTTTCCACCATCATGACCTTTCAATTAGTTTAATCAAAGTCGTTCAGCCAGTTTCCTCATAAACTGAAGGTAATAAAGATAATTTAGAATCGTCTGTTATTGTGCTAATTATTACTGGTGTCTCCTCATGCTTGTTCGTTCTGCTCTATGTTCACCACCAGGCCCTTAGTGTCCACAGGCACTCGATTTGGATTGTTGAAGTACAGCTTGTTGTCAAAGGTGCACTCGGCCAGGGTCGCCATGGGTAACCGTATCCGTTTGCGAAACAGGAGGAAGGCAGCGAGTCCGGCTATGGCTATGACAATCAGCACAATAGCCACTGTGATGCCGGCAGAGCCATGTACTGATGCTTCTTTAACAGTTTGAACTGCCAGAGAAACAGAACCATAAATTAGACACAATGATCTATAATTCATCTTAATTATGCTATGGAATAAATTGCTTCATTTACTTACCTACGAACTGAGGCTTTGATGTAGGTGGGATGACTGTAGAAATATAGCAAGACCTCAGTGTAAGTGCCCAATATAGATATAAATAACATAACAGCAGGTTAAACTCACCTTTAGGCCTTTTACAGATGTAAGACCTGTATCTGCTGCAGCTGTTTGTGCTCCACTCGCCGCTGTCAGAATGGATGTTCACACACGACTCGGACTTTGGCATTCCTATTTTCCAGTTGGTATAGTCTACAACGCTGTTATCGATCCACATCCACTCATCTGAAGCAGAGAAACAATAATCAGACAAACTAATCTGCACGACCAGGAGACAGTGAACTGCAACCTCCGCAATGAGTTTTTAATAGTGTGCATGCTTAAACCAAATCTATACGTGGTCTTTCCTCAAGAAAAGAGACTATTCATGTTTTTTAACATGGAACCTTCATGGTTTGTTTTTTTTTAAGCACAAAATACAATTTTTTAAGTCAACAAAGTCTGAAATTAGCCCTATCATGCTCACCATCATGGGACTTGTAGAGACCAATCCAGAAACTTTTGGTTTCATCTTGCAGGCTTTCAATATTCTTCTGTATGAATTTTGCCTCTACAGGGTCCTGGATGCTCACCAGCGAAGCACCTAAGAAAAACCAAACACGTGTTGCTGGAATTCATCCGTTGGGATAAGGGAAGTATGTGCAAAGTTTTCACAACTTACCTAGTTTCATACATTCAACTGAAGCATGAGCCCAGTTGTCGACCACAGAGCCCAGAAAATAATAGCAGTGACCCCTAAAAGGCATCCAGGATCTGTCCTTCTTTGGCTCTGGACAGTTGCCAGGAAGCTGTGGTGGTTCAGTCGGCGCTAAGTCTGAAAAAGAGGTAAGATCTGTTATTCTATAGTTTAGGCAGTGGGCAGCTGTAAAGGTAACTAAGAGATTAGCTTACCCTGTGACCTTTTGCAGATTGAATAATAAGTGCTTGAGCATTCCGCTGTCTTCCATGTGTGATCAACATCTATATACACACAGCCATAGTTTTTTGGCTCATTCTTGCCCCATTTGGTGTAAGAGAGAAGCCAGTTATCGACCCACTTAAAGCGACCTCCGGTCTGGAAAGAAAATAATTGACAATTAGCACAGAACTAGAAAGGTTTTACGTTTAAAATACAATTCTGGTGGAAATGTTTAAAAGCAGGCTTTACCACGTTGTTGTTGAGGCCGATCCACACTGGCTCTTTGAGTGTGGAAATCTGCAAGGTAACAAAAGCCTGGATCATGGGGTTCAGGATGCTGGCCAGCTCTGAATCGTCTGCCTGGCATTGTCTCCGAGCCTCATCCCATCTCATCTTCTGGGCCACCACTTTGTAGGAGTCATTGCCAATCTTGTAAAAGGACTTTGGTGAAACAGTGGTGGCTGGCACCGCAATCTGGGAATCTGCACAAACAAGACATGTGAGTCAGTTGTCAACAGGTTTATTCTAGAAGTCCTGGCAATTGCATCTTTCTTTAACGTGTTTGAAAAAACACTTCTGTCTCCAAACAAAATGAAAGGCCATAATGAACTGCCTCTGGCAGTCAAGGACTTCAAGCAGTACTACTGCTGAAGAAATCACCCATTGCTGAAGTTGTGCAACTTCCAGTTTGTGTCATTGGGGTAAAGTAAACCAACGAGATTTAAATGTGTTTTTTTGTTTTGTTTTGTGATTTTACCTTGGAGGCCTGTCTTTTCCTCACTTTGTGTTTAATAACAACAGAGGTTGAATTAAACCTTATTTGTTCTCTAGGTTTTATTGTAGGAATTTACACAAAGATGAGTTTCATTTTTTTGTGAGAACTTAGAAAGTGAAAAATTATTCAAATTTTAATGTTTTTTTTTTAAATGCTATGTAATCTGGTTGAATTGGACATCAGACTGCATATGCTGCATCTGTACAGAGTAGCCATAGTTTCATATGTCATTAAAATGCAAAGAATATTAGCAACAGTATGACTGGGACATAATTCTATTCTATTTTATTTTTACTCATTTTATTTTTATTTCTCTGCCCACACGTTACTCACCAACATTCTTTTTACAGACAAAGCCGCGTTTTTCACCACAGTCTTCCACTTTCCACTGTCCTTTTATTTTGAGGATGCTGCCAACCATGATCACACAGTCAAACACCTCAGGAAGAAGACAGAAAAGTTAAACGAGTTG